CAGACTATGCTTATTAAATGACTGGTTTCTGTGATGTGTGGTAAACTAGGCTTAACCACGAGATGTGTACGAGATGTTTTTCACAAGGATCCAAGGCAAGAGTGAGTCAATTGATGCATATGTGACTGACCTGAAAAAAAAGGCCAAGGACTGTGAGTCTGACCACCTCACAGACTCACTTATAAAGAGACCGCATTGTGTGTGGAGTCGCTAATGATCAGGTTAGAGCCAGACTGCTGAGAGAACCTGATTTATCATTAAGTAAAGCTGTTGATATCTGCAGAGCTAATGAAGCTTCACAAAGCCAACTGAAAAGCATTGCATGAGGAAACTGAAGTGGCGGTGACCAAGTTAAGTAAAATTACGTTTACAAAAAAGCCCAAAGACAGCAGTATGAATGATAAAAGTGAATGCAGAAAATGTGGATACAAACATGAGCCTTGCAAGTGCCCAGCTTTTGGTCAAACGTGCAAAGCGTGCTCTCGGAAAAACCACGATGCTCATATGTGTCTTATGAAGAAACCAAGAGAAACAACACTTTTAAAAAAAAAAAAGTAAATAAAACAGAAAAAATGAACTTAAGTACTTGGCCAAAAACTCAAATTCAGGTTAGATACTGGTGTAGATTTCAACATCTTACCCCTCACCATTTTTAAACAAGTGGCTGGGAAGGATGCAACGTTGTAGGAGTCCAGCTTCAAGTTGGTGACATATTCCCGCCACAGGGTGGTGCCGTTAGGTATGGCAAAGTTGATGTGTAAGTACAAAACTGCAATGCATGAGTTGGAATTTCAGATAATTAAAGCCAACTTACCAGCTATCTTAGGAGGAGATTCTTGTGCAGAAATGGGGCTGATGAAAAGAATCCATGAAGTGGAAAAACAAGTTGAAGCAGACATCCTGAACGACTACAAAGATGTGTTCACAGGTTTGGGATGTGTACCTGGACATTATCACATTCAGATTGATCCAGCAGTAACTCCAGTTATTCACCCTCCAAGAAAAGTGCCATTAGCACTAAAAGACAAAATCAAAACTGAACTGGAAAGGAACTGAAGGAACTTGGTGTAGTTGAAAAGCAGACAGAATGACCTAAACATGGACACAAACCAGAGGGTTTTGGCAAATACAACTTGATGAGGACAGTTCAAAGTTGTGCACCTTTAACATGCCTTTTGGTAGGTATTGTTTCAAGCGGCTTCCCTTAGGTGTGTGATCTTCTCCGGAGGTTTTCCAGAAATGCATTGCTCAGAGACTGGATGACCTGGAAGGAGTTGTGAATGTTATGGACAACATTCTGGTATGGGGTGCTGACAAAGAACAACATGATAAAAGACTGAGACAGCTTCTGGACAGAATACGGAGCATCAATCTCAAGTTGAACAAAGACAAGTGCAAGATTGGAATGACAGATATGATACATTGGACACATTCTCAGTGCAGAAGGCCTGAAACCAGACCAAGAAAAGGTCAGCGCAATAATGGACATGACACAACCACATGACAAACCTGCACTCATGAGGTTTTTAGGCATGGTGCAGTACCTCTCAAAGTTCATTCCGAACCTGTCTGAAGTGAGTGCACCATTCAGGAAACTGTTAGAAGGTGATGTTGTGTGGCATTGGGAAACACTGCAGCAACACAGTTTTGAAAGTCTGAAAAAACTGGTAAGCGATGCCCCAGTGCTCAAGTTTTATGATGTCAACAAAGAAGTCACGTTGTCAGTGGATGCAAGCTTTGAAGGACTGGGAGCTGTAATAATGCAGGAGGGGCAGCCTGTGGCTTATGGATCCAGGTCTCTCACTGACACACAGAAAATATATGCACAGATAGAAAAAGAACTCTTAGCTATTGTGTAAGGATGTGAGAAGTTCAAACAGTATCTGTATGGGAAACAAGTACAGGTGGAGTCTGATCATAAACCACTTGAGACAGTGTTCAAAAAAGGACTCCACAAAGCCCCTCCCAGACTTCAAAGGATGCTGATGAGGTTGCAGGCTTTTGACTTGCAAGTGTCTTATAAGCCTGGTAAAGACTTGCATATTGCAGAAACACTGAGCAGAGCTTTTCTACAAGAACAGAATTAACTACAAGTTAACCTCCTAACAGAACACCTGCCGATCTCAGAAGAAAAACTACAGCAGAGGATGATGAACTACAGCTTGTGATGAAAGCAGTTCAATCAGGATGGCCTGAGCAGCAGAACCAAGTTCCGACTGAAATAAAGAAATTTTGGACGTTCAAAGTAGAACTCACTAGCCAGGGGGTCCGGAGAAAGAGGCATAGATATCCTCCTCTTGCTTCTCAGCACAGAAGTCCAGGAGGTGGAGGGAGCCGGTCATCAGACAGCACCACACCGGCTGTTCTGTCATGTGTTGCAATGGCACCACCTGTTGGCCTGCAAAAAACTCATACAGGAAGTGCACTTGTTTCAAAGGAAACAGGAAGTGTGCACTCTATAAAAGGAACAGGAGGTTCTTCCTTTTGTCATTGTCATAGCAGACGTGCAAACTGACTTGTGACGCTTAAGACAGCAACGGCTGTAAGTCATTTATTATGTATGATTGCAAGGTGGCTAGTCCTTAGTTGTTTCGACAGAATGTGGTTGCAGAATATGTATTTTGCACTTGCTTAATGTAGCATGCAGTTTAGCTTAGCTTAGCATGTAGCTTAGTTTAGCCCATAGCATTTAGCTTAGCATAATTAGCTTAGCATTAATGTTATAATTGTATTACAAGTGAAATTTTTACTTAATTATGTGAAGTTATTTATAGCACCTTGCTAATCTGTGCATTTTCTTTGTTATAGTTTTTCACTCTGAATTCAACCTTGATGAATAAACAAGATCAACTGAGAAACTGACTCACTCATCATTTGAATGGAGTTTGGCTGACTGTCGAACTGCGTACCCACACACGTAGGGAGGACAGTTACACCGGCCAACCGGAGCCAGGAGATCTGTGACTGGAAGTGCAGGAGTTCATGGATGAGCTTTTCCAGAGAAAGATGCTCAGTCTTTAGGCATGATAGTTCAGCAGGGGACCCCATGTCAAGTTAGCCTATCCCCAGGCTAAAAACAGGTTAGTGTTGTAACGTAACCCACATATAGGCTACTCAGCCTCTTAAGTGAACAATACACGGCTGAGAAAGGTTACATTTCACTGCTGCGTGGGGCCAAAACGTCCGTCTAGGTCTCCTTTACTCCATTTCAAAAGAAACATGATGTTTAAGCTGGTGAAAAAGTGGATGAAAAGGTTCTTGATAAAAAGCAATGTCATGACACTATCCACACAGTTGTGCGCAGAGTGGGTAAAGACAGCTCTGACCTGAAAAAGGAAATGGGAGAGCCAGGATTTTATATTGTAATCATCTCTGCCAATGTGATCATGATTATTATCCTGTGCCACTTCAGCAGTTCCAACCATGCTCACCTGAGACAGTGGATCCTGTGTCCACTACCACACAGCCAGGGCTTGAATGTATTCAGTCTGGGGAAAACATACCTGAGTTGGAGCACAATACCCTACAAATCAACAAGACAACTACATTGATGATCCACCTGTGGAGGATGCTGTCCCCCTCACCTTTTCCAAGTGTTTCCAGCAATGATGAGGTAATGTGGCTGAGATAACAACACAGACGACCTAAGGTTTTCACATATGATAGACTTGGTATACCTACCTGTTAAAATCTGAAAACACTGCAAAAACATACAAGCTATAGGGTGCCATGGAGATACACAGTGCAGCCATACCACTTCCAGCACTTTTGGTACTAGAGTAGAAGTTAAAAGTAGAAACACTGCTCACCAAAGAAGATAGTTGTAACTGTACCTGTGGTCCTAAAATTGAGCCTGTTGCTGATATTGTGAAATATTTACATTTGTTATTAATATTTGCATACTAATGTAACTCAATATAGACAAGAGGAGGCAACAGTTGCATATGTATTCCTCATTCCTTTTATCTACTATTATCCCCTATTTAAGGAAGCAAATCAGCTATCAAGCAGAAAGAGAAAAAAGTAGCAAAAGATGGGAAAAAAAGAATACAAAGTTAATAAAGTTAATAAATACACATTGTTATATATATAAATATATATTTCAGTTGTGTCATGAAAATAGAAAATGTCCTTTTTCTTACTTTTGTGTAAACTTAAGACTTTAAGTGCTATATTTCTTCTTTATAAATGGTGACACTGATCATAACAGAAGCTAAAAGCAGCCAAAAGTTAAAAAAACAAAAACAAATCACTATCGTGAGATATGGTTTCTGAGTGCTATGACTTTTTAGGTTAATTTCAAAATGGAATTTTAAGCAAACAGACACATATCAAGTCTTACAAAAAAGTATCAATGTATCAAGAACATGCCTTCAAAACTGTTATTTAATAGCGTAGTATTCAGAAACAAAGCACCCAGGGCCTGCTAAGTTTAGAAAACCAAGCAAGAGGAGATTTTCCAGCAGCTAGCAGGCTTTGGGCCCAGGCTACAAACAACCACACAAACATTCAAAAGGTGGTGAACAAGCTGTTCAAAAGCTCACAAGCAACATAAAAACACAAGCAAAAATTATCAATATAGACCACCGTATCAAAAGCATGAATAGTACACTTTAATTCAGAAGCTTTGTTTCTAAAAAGTTGCATTTAAACCAACAAGCCAAAAAGAAGAAGTTGCACACCAACAGCAAGCAGACCTCCACACAAACAGCCGACAGGTGTCTAAAGAACGTCTGAATACAAAGTTCAATAAGTTTTAAAACTTTAAAAAGCCTCGGCGGGCTTTCTCACTCATCGTGTATACCCAGGCAGCAGAAAACAACACAGCAGACAGAGATAAAGAACAAGACACAGCTCATAGCAAAACCTCCAAATCATCAACAGAACACAGCCAGCAGTTACAAACAAACAAACAAACAAACACAGCAGCAAACAGGTTTAGCAAAGAAAACTGGTCAGAGGAGATAGACAGAAAAATAAATAATAAAAAATGGACTCACATTTGGAAGGTTTTTTCATGGCAAAATGTTCCTGTTAAGACAAGTTTATGAAGGTTAGTCATCAAGAAGAAAGCAGGTAGGCTACTGAGACAGAAAGTGCAACACTTCAAAGATTTCAACTCACATTTTCAAGTGATTTCCTTCCATGGAAACAAAGTTTTCATATCATGTCCTGTAGCCGCTTCAATCGTTCCTTTGAAAACAGTTTTTAAGAAAGTTAGCCATCAGGAAGCAAACAAGCCAGCAAGTAGAAAGACAGATAGGCTACCCAGAGAGACATAAAATGTAAAAAGGAAAAAGTATCTGACTTACTTCTCGGAAGTTTTCTCTTTTCTATAACGGTGTCGACGTGTCCCAGTCTTAAAGTTAAGACCCACTGCAGTTGTCACTGTGAAGTATAATTCAGCTTTTCCTTCCATCTTTGACCAAAAAAGCTAACTCCTAGTTGCTACTACCTACAGCAGGAAGCAAGCTGAAGTATCCAGCATATTTTGTTGATATGCTCACTTACTGTTGTTTGTAGTGAGAAAGAAGTTTGACAAGCTTCACAATTCAGTTCATTGTCTTCTTTAGCTTGAAAATATAACTTTGTTTTACTGTATTTCCCTTAATTGACTTGAGACTCAATGTTTGACTGTTCTCAACTGCTTCCCTGCAGACAACTGACTCGTGGAGAGGAAACAACACAGCTGTAATCAATGATGGTTAACGAGAGGTCTTTCCTGTATTGGTGTCTGAGTATGCCAGTAGAGGGCCAGCATGAGCCTCACCAAGGGTATGTTCACAGTCTTCTTAGCTTAGGAGCTCTTTAGGGGCTTTATCATTATTATTTCAAGACATTAGGATTGTTGAAAATAAACTTCCAGGTAAATCACCTAGGTCTGCCTCAACCAAGATATGAACACTCAACCTCTTGGTTAGGAGTTACCTCTCCTAACCATCACACCACCATGTTGACTTCCTGTGTTTGTTCTTTTAGGGGGTTTGTCCTTTCTATTTCAGCATTAGGCTCGTTTAAAAAGTTTTCCAACAGGAAACAGATCAAGTCTGAGTGGGTGGATTGAGGTTTGATCATTCACTTCTTGGATGGGGTTTACTTGGCTTAACCACTTCACTACCACGACATCTGTGTTTGCTTGCTCTTTTAGGGGCTTTGTCCTTTTTATTTCAGGACCGTAGGATAGATCAAAAACATCTCCAGATACCCAGACTAAGTCTGGATGGGGATAACTGGGATTCAATCATTTAACCTCTTGGATGGAAGCCTCCTCTCTTAACCTCTACACCACCATCACAGCGCTGTTTCCTTTTTTTAGGGGGGTTGTCCTTTCCATTGCAGTACATTAGGATTGTCTAAAATCATCTCAAATGGGAGACCAAGATTTGAACAGTCAACCTTCTGATTTGGAGGAGGTGATCTTATCCACTATGCCACTGTGCATTCTGGTGCTTTCTGTCTATTTAGGGGCTTTGTCCTTTTTATTTCAGGACATTAGATCGATTGGCTGGTTCTAGAAGAAAAAAAAAATCCCAGTTTGGGATCAATAAAGTAATTATATTCTATTAAAATCATCTATAATGGGAGAAACACAGATTGTCTGGAAGGCCTCAACCAGGATTTGATCAGTCAACCTCTTGGATGGGAGTCACCTCTGATAACCACTGCTCCATCACAAAGTATGTATTTTCCTGTTTTTTTAGGGGGTTTGTCGTTTCCATTGCAGTACATTAGGCTTGTCTAAAAACATCTCAAATGGGAGATCAGGATTTGAACAATCAACTTTCCGGCTGTGAGACAGCCATCTTATCCACTATGCCACTGTGCATTCTGGTGCTTTCTGTCCAATTAGCTTTGTACTTTTCATTTCAGGACATTAGGATCGTTCAAAAGCAGAAACAGAATCAAAATCAGAATCATTTTTTTATTGCCAAGTACATTTGCACATACTGGAAATTGACTTAGAAACTGAGATCAATGGATGGGCACAATAGGGATTTCATCATTAAACCTCTTGCATGGGAGTCTACTCCTTATCAACTTCTCCACCATGCCCTTTTTTGAGGGGGAGGGTTGCGTCAAAGGGGGGAGGGTGTAGGGGTTGGTTTGAAAAAGGGTCTCAGTGTGTAACAGGAGAAGAGACATCTCCTGATATTTACAATGGGAGATAAACACAATGTCTGCAAGGCCTCAACCAGGATTCGATAACACAACGTCTTGGATGGGAGTCTCCTCTCTTCACTGTTATGCCACAATCACATGTCTAGTTCCGTTCTTCGGGGGTTTGTCCTTTCCATTGCAGTACATTAGGCTCGTCTAAAATAATCACAAATGGGAGACAAGGATTTGAACAGTAAACCTTCTGGCTGTGAGGCGGTCATCTTATCCACGATGCCAACGTGCATTCTGGTCCTTTCTGGTGCATTCTGGTCCTTTCTGGTGCTTTCTGTCTATTTAGGAGCTTTGTATTTTCATTTCAGGACATTAGGATAGTTCAAAAGCAGAAACAGAATAATTTTTATTGCCAAGTACATTTGCACATACTGGAAATTGACTTGGTGTTTGATGCAAAACAGTTAACAAAAAAAGTCACTGGAAAGAAACCAAGATTCAACTACACAGCATCCTGGCTCTGAAACAGAAGTCTTATCCACTATGCCACCATGCAGCTTGTGAATGCAAACCCTTTTCGCGGATTTGTACTTTTCATTTCAGGACAGTAGGATAGATCAAAATCTTCTCTAATGAGAAAATCCCAGATCCTGTTTGGATGGGGACAACTGGGATTTGATAACTCACTCTCTTGGATGGGAGTCTCCTCTTGTAACCTCTATGCCACCATCACATCTCTGGTTTCTTTTTTAGGGGGTTTGTCCTTTCCATTGCAGTACATTAGACTTGTCTAAAATCAACTCAAATGGGAGACCAAGATTTGAATAATCAATCTCCTGGCTGTGAGGCAGCCATCTTATCCACTATGCCAACGTGCATTCTGGTGCTTGCTGTCTATTTAGGGGCTTTGTACTTTTCATTTCAGGACATTAGGATAGTTCAAAAGCAGAAACAGAATCAAAATCAGAATCATTTTTTATTGCCAAGTACATTTGCACATACTGGAAATTAACTTAGAAAATCAGATCAATGGATGGGCACAATAGGTATGTGATCATTCATCCTCTTGCGTGGGAGTCCTCCTCCTTATCCACTTCTCCTCCATGCCCTCTTTTGAGGGGGAGGGTTGCAACAAGGAGAGGGAGGGTGTAGGGGTTGGTTTGAAAAAGGGCCTCAGTGCGTAACGGGAGAGGAGACCGGAGACATCTTCAGTTATTTTAACACACAGAGTGCTCATAGGATTCTGTCAACAGTAAGTTTAAAGTTTGAAGTTTTAAGTTTGAATGTTTTATTTATTTAGAGAAGAAGAAAAGTTTAAAAGTTTTATCTTAAAAGATTTTCTGTTAACCTATATCGACATATTTCAGAGAAGTTTACTTACGACCTTAAATCCACTTTAAACTCTGATGAGCTGCTGCCGATTAAACGTTCTCTCTCGGTGCTAGGAGCCCCCAAAAAGGAGGAATGCGGCCGCGTATTTCGAAAACTTGTTATTGTTTATGAAATGAAAATAAAATAAGAATTTAATAACAACGATAACAACGAGCCCTTTTCATTTTAAATTGGTTTTACTGAATAGTTTTTGAGGTAATTCAAGTTTAATTTCAGTTAAATTTCAATGAGAACTGATATTTTGGTCCTATTCAATATTTTATTTTGAAAAACCTATGACAGGTGACAATAAAATTTCAATGGATTCTTATTCATCATGTCCCTGACTGTTATCCTGAGTATTTTCAGAAGTTTTTACCATATAGTTTTTGAGATAATTAAAGGTAAAGTCTGCTAAAATTGCATAGAGACACTTTGATATTTTAGTCATATTTAATATTTTATTTTGAAAAATCTATGACAAGTGACAAAGATCTTTCAATGGATTCTTGTTCCTCATGTCCCTGACTGTTATCCTGAGAATTTTCAGATGAATGGCGTTAGTCGCGTCAGCTACATAAGTTCATGACCGAACAACTTTTTTTCAGTTTTGTGGAACCCACACTTTGCTTTTGCACTTCCCAGCCACTATAATCTGGAACCTGAACACATCATTTCGGCGTGAGTCCTGTAGGAACAGAGAAGAGGACACAATGTCTCCCGTGTGTGTGCTGCTGATGTTTGTGTGTCTGCATAGAGGACAGGTGAGCACAGGTGAGTTCACATCACAGTCTGAGTCACATCTGAATCCTTATGGGGGGATGTTCTCGCCATAGTTTTGGTGCCTTAACGGACAGACTCTAGTGGACACTGGAGGAACTGCAGCTGTAAAGTTAGACATTTTAACATGGGGCTCTATGGGGACTGACTCACTGCAGGAGACAGACTCTAGTGGACACTGGAGGAACTCTGTGTCCGCTCTACTTTTCTTTCTGCAGCCGTCCCTGAAGTGCAGATTCTGAACCTCAAGGTGGAGTACGGAGAGTCAGCCAGCTTGCCCTGTAATGGCTCCGCCTACCTGGGGGAGAAAGGGATCGTCAACTGGGAGACGAGTATGGGGAAGAAGGTGGCGATTCTGCAGTTTTTGGAGGAAAAAGAGTGGGAGAAGTTTGAGGTTAGACACTGTTTGTAATGTATGTTTGCAGAAATCTTCTCGTTGGTAATTTTCAGCGATATTCCTGATTGTTGTTTCAGTCGCTACAACTTTAAAATCACAGTACTATAAACACCTCAGTATCAGGACACTTTTGATTGACAGTCGTGTTTTCTCAGCTCCAGTCTGAGGTGCTGCTGCCGACAGATGAGCAGCTCCACGCAGGAGACTGGTCTCTGGTCTTTCAGCCGGCCATGCTGAGGGACTCGGGGACGTATCAGTGCATCTGGGAGGGACAAAGACAAGCGATCATGTCCACAGTTTGGCTCACAGTGAACGGTGAGAGAGAAGAACTGTCTCTTTAGAAATACATTCAGAATGTAATAGACTGATCTGCATGATTTCTGAACAAAAACACATTAGTGTAATTAAAACAGTGAGCAGGACTTTGTCTTAATGGCCTCGTATCAAAAAAAAAGAAGTTTAAAAATCTGATACAGTGATATGAACCCTACATGGGTTGGACTTTTAGACTGAGTCTGAGCGAAGTCTGCTCATGATGCAGATCCGTCCTAGTCTGTTCATCTCTTAATCCGATTTGGAACTTATGACGGAAATGAAAAATTAGGTAAAAAATGACAAAGGCAATGAATGAATTGTTTTGGTTCCTCATCTGTTTCACACACATTTCCTTCTTGGCTTGTACGGTCTCTAACACGAACACTTAAGAGGCGACCTCTGGCCGATGGAGACTCGACTTCTCCATCTCTCTGCAGACTCAAAGCCTGAAAACATGAAAGCACAGACCCTTTCACATGAGACAAGCCTTCAAGAAACAGTACTGATGAAGTGCACAGTATTAATTTAGCTCTCTGTTCCTCCTTTCATGCTCCTCCCCCTTAAAGAGCCGCACATTGAGGACGACCTGCTGTGTTTTGAAGGTGAGACAGTGACTCTGAAGTGTTACCTGCCACTCTCCAGGAGTCAGATCCCCAGCAGTCTGCAGGTCGGGTGGACCAAGGACGGACAAACCTTAGAGTCGACAGGAGAAGAGGTACTCCTCGACTTTGAATACAGTTTTTATTACACATTGAACTTG